CGGCCCTGTCTAGCTGCTGCCTAGTTCCCACCACGGCCGCCTCCACTGAGCCTTAAGCCGTCAACAGTCCACTTGTCAAAATGTTCTGTTGCCGACGGCCTCAGTGAAGGCGTACAACCCGAGTGGCAACTGTTAAAGGTTGTGCTCTATTTATCTCGGGTTCACGCCATGTGGCCTCCCCTTAGTGGTGGGAAGATTAGGGCCCCCTCTGGAGCGTTGAATCACGTTGTCAAGGGGTATTAGATTTGGTTTGGTCGAGCACTTAGTCAAAAAATACTTGAATTAAAATTAAAAATTGCTTTGGGCTTTCCGCGAAATTTTCCTATTTGTAGCGGTTTAAATTAAAAGAATTGAATTTAATCTACTCCTTTAAATGCTACTGCATGTGTTTTGTACATATATTTAATCACTGTATTTGATTGTTGCGTTTGTTTGCTGAAAGGAAAATTTGAATTCATCTGAAATGGAATGGCGCACTATTTGAAAAATTATGTTTATGTTTATGATAGTGTTTAATCATTTTGCTTTGCGAAGAAGTAGGGCTGTCCCTTACGTTATTGTTTTGTTTAATTTTCAAGTTGACCTATGCGCATCGGTGATTAATTTGGTTGAATTAATTCTGTAGTTGAACATTGATGCTTTTGAGAAATTAGTTGAAATATGAGCATAGGACTACTTGCCTAACAGGCTAGCTAGTTTTGGAGATTATCTGATTGAAATCAGCTGCCGCGCTATTTTAGTAAATGATAATATGGTGGGTGGCCTGGCTAGGCCTACTTGTTGAAAATTCATACTAGGGACTATCTGTGCGTTTCGTTTGGCTCTCCACAGACGACGTTCATGTGGAATTTGTGGGTGCGCTCTGCACTGAAGCAACTGCTGGCACAAAATTTGTCGGGGCAGCTTCGTGTAGCGTCGCTGTTTGCAGAGCTGATCCGGTCGGATTGCGGAACTATTCATAGGGGCACAGATAGGTTTTTGAAGGAGGTCGTCGGACTTCTGTCCAGTACAGGACTTGTTAAAGTGCTGCGATGCCCAGGAGGGGCATCCAGTGGAGGCTGACCCTCCGGCTTGCCACATTAGGGCTATTTTTTGAGGCGCTGGTTAGGGTTGCAAGATCTGATGGGATGCCTAAGGTGGCCTAGTTTGGTTGTAGATTCGGTCTTGCAACTTGCCTTCGCGACCTTGTCCCGCTGACCGGTTTGCTCGCGGACCTAAATCCTTATGTCCGGGACGGGGGTTTGTTCGCGCAAAACTCTGTTGTCGGAATCGACACCAGATGTCACTCGGCTCGGCGCGATTCCGGTCTGAAGTTCTTCCGAGCTTGGCAGTGGCGCGCGGGTCGCAAGCGAGTCAGTCATCTGCCAGATGTGCTAATGTTTGCACGCTGTTAATTTTGTGCGGGAACCGCGGAATAGTTAGGGCGTCTAGTAAATATCCTGTCTAGGAATTATAACGCGCATTCCCTGTTTGGATAGCCTTTCCCGGGACTTATTGGGTCCGACTTAGAATCTGTATAAGTGCATTCGACAATATAAGCTAGTGCGGCCTCGGTATTTAGAACTGTTGCCACGCGAAACGGTAGTGACCTTTGACCTAGAAACTCCGGGCGTGTTTTGTGCGGTAACCTTATACCCCGCGATAGTTAGTGGCTTCTGTAAGCTAGTTAATCGTACGATAGAGTTAAGTGACTGGCATCGTGGTGAACCAAGAAAGTGACTGTGGATAACCTCGAAAGGCCCCCTCAAGTTGAAGCGGTGTCGACGCTCGGGCTGTTGCCGACGGCTAAGGTCTAGGTTCAATCACCATCAGTCACACCCAGATACACACCACATCACCATTCTTTCCCTTGCACTACACAACCACATGCGACCTGACCGACTCCGGAGGAACCAGTCGCCTTGGATAGAGGTAAGTGAACCCCGCCAAATTCCTTCCGGTCGACTGGCCGTAGTATAACGCTCCCCCATATATTTAGTGTAATTAGAGAGATTCCACGTGGCCTTAGGAGGCCCGACCTACGTTTGCTCGGGAAGTCTTCTGCTGATGGGCCCCGGGGGATTGGATCCTTTAAGGGAGCAACCGTAGGCCGTAACAAAATCAATTTTGGACAATTACCAAATACCAATTTTGTCAAAAGTATATGAAAAAATTATACATACTAAACTCACATCTTTCTTTGACAAGTATCATGTGCTGAATCCCTGTCAGTATGGGTTCCAGAATCCACAGGGGTAAATCTACTGCACATGCTGTTTTCGATATGGTAAAGGAGACTCTAACATGCCTAAATGCTAATAATTATACAACTACTCTTTTCTTTGACATGTCGAAAGCCTTCGATATTTTATCACATAATTTATTATTGGAAAAATTGGTAAAATGTGGCATTAGAGGCACTGCTTTAAGTTGGATTAAAACCTACTTGCAAAATAGACGACAATCTGTTGAAATAAGCAGACCAGACTGCAATCATGTGGTCCTAAACTACATATTAGATTTTAAAGAAAGCAAATATGGAGTTCCACAGGGCAGCTTTTTGGGGCCACTGTTGTTCTTAGTCTATATAAATAATCTACCGGATGTAACTAACGACAAATGCATTTTATTCGCTGACGACATATCTGTAATAGTGAAAACAGATGGTAAACATTCTCTAAAAGATCATATTAATGACATTAATAGTACAGTAAAAACAATAATAGAATGGCTTAAAAATAATAATCTAATTATAAATCTTAACAAAACTTATTTTATAAATTTCAACGACATATTATACCAGACAATGAACATTAATTTCGAAGGACAAAACCTAAAATATAGCCCAAAAACTAAATTGGAAAAGTTAAGTTGAAAATGTTTGTAAAGAAATTAATAGATTTTCCTACGCACTTTACAAACTACGCAAAGTAGCCACAAAAAATACAGCACTTACTATTTTTTGTGGCTACTTTGCCTATGTGGAATCCGTTTTGCGATACGGACTCATTATATGGGGTAATAGCATAGATGCAAAAAAGGCATTCATTGCCCAAAAAAAATGTATTAGAGCAATATGTGGCACTGCACCTGATGAGCCTTGCAGGCCGTTATTAATATCTCTGAAAATACTACCCCTCCCATGCCTGTACATTTTGGAAATTGCAAAGTTTGTAAAACAAAACATCTATTATTTTAGACAAGCGAAAGAGAATTATACACGAAATACCAAAAATGGTGCTGAAATTATACCCAAGAGTGCTTGATTTAAAAAAAAACTGCTACTGGATGTGTATTCTCATATTTAATAAAATACCCCTAAATATAAAATACTTACCCCTTAATAGATTTAAAGGCGCCTTTTACAGATGGCTAAATGAACATTGTTTTTATAATGTGAATGACTACCTAAATTTGACATGATGTGACACAACAGTAGTTATATATTTTTAATTAAATTTTAATCTTAATTATATTAAATTTGTTTTTTTTTTTATAGGATCAGGTGACAAACGAGCACACAGTCCACCTGATGGTAAGTGGTTACTGTGACCCATAGACATCTACATCTATCCTCAATAAAGACTCAAGATGCAGATGCGTTGTCACCCGTGAGGACTAAGATGGAATGCCTCTATGCCAGTAAAAAGGGTCTCTGGTTCTCTACACTCACCATACGAAACACAGCAGCGTTAAGCTGCTATTTTACGCTGGTTTTCTGTGAGAGCGTGGTCCTTCCCCGGTCGAGCCGACCCATTCGTGCTACAACCATAATATAGCTGCAGCATGGCTCTACCACGTAGAAAGATTGTATGTATTGGTATTGCTAATTTGTAAGCAATGACATGACGTTAAATATTTTAATTGAATTTTTTATATTGTAATATAATAAATTTAATTATAAAAAATGTATTTGTATGCTATCATAGATGGCTGAAAAAGCTGAACTACACTTTATAATAACCACCTAAGTGTACCCGTTTTTCAAAGCAAATAAATCTTCATTTCATTTCATTTCAAGACTGTCGAGGCGTCGAGAACAGATATCCTCTCTGACGTATACGCAAACTCCAGCCCGGGGCACAAAGAAGCGTTCTAATTTATACCCCGGGTCCTCCCCTGTGCGGTAGGTACGAAGTATCGAATAGAATAGAATAATGTTTTATTCAATATAGATCACATGTGTAATTCTTATTGAAAGTCATTTTTTACTTTACCACTGGTTTGAAAAAAACCTCTGTCCTGGGAAGAACCAGCAAGAAACCTAGCGGGACTTTTTTTTTAAAAGCAAATTTTACTTTCATTTCACTAGTATCGAGATAGCTAGATCTCGACACTAGTGAGACCTGTAATCTTTTTTACAGCATAGGCTGCAGAACTTAGTCTGCTTGCTAGTTTGGACATAGGACCCCACTGAAGCTTTGCGTCGAGATTGATGCCAAGAAAAACAGTGGATTCAACAAGGCTCAGTTTTTCCCTATTTAAAACACATTGGTACTCAGATTTTTAACATTCGTTGTTGTAAATTTAATACATTTAGTTTTATTATCGTTTAAATGTAGATTATTAACGTTAAACCAATGCACTAATTTTGATATAGCATTATTTACTTCGTCACATTTAAATGATTGACGTTTAAGTTTAAAAATCAAGGAGTATCATCAGCAAATAATACTATATGATGATTATCCCCTACAAGAGAAGATAAGTCATTAATATACACTAGAAATAGGAATGGGCCGAGAATCGAGCCCTGAGGGACACCCATTAGTACAGGTGACCCGGAAGAACTTTTACCATTGATAATAACCTTCTGCCTTCTATTACTTAAATATGAAATAATAAGTTTAAGCGCTGTGTTCTTGACACCATATGTGTCCATTTCATGGTCCATATTATGGTCTATGTCCAGCATTGGACTTTCATAGGCTGTGATGAATGAATTAGTGAATGAATACAAATACGAAGAAAATATATTTGATCTAAGTAAAAAGCTGGAATATAGACCGAATGGTATTTACCTCACCAGTCGCAGTCTGCAGTCTTCGGAAAGCTTCTTCATCCCTTACCCCAGCAGCTTGTTCGAGTTTATGTAACCTGATGTGAAAAACATTAGGAAGATAATATAATATAAATTACACTAGTTAAAATAAGCCATTTATGCTCAGTGGCGCAGTGGCTTAGCTATGTGTTGTGGCGTCGAGAACCGTGGGTACGAATCGAATTATTTATATGGCCTACATGTATTATTTTATAGGATAGGGTGACAAACGACCACACAGTCCACCTGATGGTAAGTGGTTGCTGTGGCCCATAGACATCTACATCTATCGTAGTTTGCGAATCAAAATGCAGATGCGTTGTCACACCGTTTCTCTTCACCGTTGTACATGTGGTAAATCAGCGCAATTTCATTGTTACCGGTTTACCGGCGGGGATCGAACCCGGCTTGTTCGCATAATGGAATGCAAAGGTTGTTTGGAAGAAATCACTTTCTGAGTGACAAGATCACAAGACCGTAAATGATATTGCTGCTTAATTTGAAAACGTTACCCTAGTGTGGGGGTAACGTTTTTAAAAAATAAACTTAAAAACAAAAAAAAATTAAACTTCTGGTTTCATTCTGTTTTAAGTGTCTATTAAAGAATAAATACGAATAAAATAATTCATTAAATTCCTAGAAAATCACACCAAGATTGTGTGTCACCAAGCAATTTCAATTGCTGACGGGAATTCAACCCAGGTAGCTTACGTGACTGTATGTTTGTCAACTACCATGGCTCTAAATTAATCTGATCATTTGGACAAATTTCTAAATTGGTGTTGATAAAGTTACAAAATAAACATGCCAGTTTCTCGGAAGTTTTATTGTTTGAAACAGACAAATTAATAATCTTGATAAAAAAATTTTTTCATCACTTTTTTATTTTTATCGCATTTTCATAAAACCATATAATTTGATTTAGTTAAGAGCCGTGGTAGCTCAGATGGTTAGCGCTCGCTGTAAATTTCAAGTACAGAGCAAACCGGGTTCGATACCCGCCGGCACCAATGAAATTGTTAATTGCAATTTTAAGTTCTAATTTACTACGTGCTCGGCGGTGAAGGAAAACATCGTTAGGAAACCTGCATGTCTGAGAAATAAGAAAAAAAATATATATTTCGAAGAGATGTGAAGTCCAACAACACGCAGTGAGGCAGCGCGGCGGACATTTCCTTGCCCTAAAACCCTCTCAGAAATGAGAGGAGGCCTGTGCCCAGCAGTGGGACGTATTTATAGGCTGTAACTTTATATAATTTGTTTTATGCATCCCCGTAAATATAAGAAAACACTATGTAAACCCTTGCACCGTCAGCCTGGCTCGATGTAACAATGTAACTGAGCCACAGCAGAGCACTAAAGAAACATGTATGGTTTATCAAGCTCTTTGTTACAATATAAGAGAGTGTGTAGCACTAGATTCTTACTGCTTTTTACTGTGTTCATGTCTTTCTCACACTACAATAGATGACACAGCATGCATATTAACCACGCCCGCCGACGAGTTCGAGAAATCCACTAGTGTGCTCTTAATGGAAAAATATCCAGATAAATTAACTGAAATAAAGATGATACCTGTGCTCTAGCTGAGCTACCCGCGTTGTTTGTGCCAGATTGATCTCCGGTTTCAGCTTTAGATGTGCAGTCACTAATTCTCCATGCTTCTTTTTGCCGTTGGTTGCTAGGTATTCCCTATAAAATAAAAACAAGAATTGAGTAAAAGATTTCACTCAGAAGCCTTTTCATCGTTCTTTTCTTTATCGGCACGTAAAAGTTCACTGATGGACATGGGATTGTATCGCTGTACAATCTTTTTAGAATATCCCAGTAGCCTCTCACATTACTCACGGAACAAAATAGGGTTTTTTTTTATAGGATCGAGTGACAAACAAGCACACAGTCCACCTGATGATAAGTGGTTGCTGTGGCCTGTGTGTTGTTTATCTTCGTTTGCGAATCAAAACGCAGATGCGTTGTCACCTGTGAGGACTAAGATGGAATGCCTCTTTTCCAGTAAAAAGGGTCTCCGGTTCTCTAAACTCACAATACGAAACACAGCAGTGTTAAACTGCCATTTGACGCTGGTATTCTGTGAGAGCGTGGTCTTTCCCCGGTCGAGCCGACCCATTCGTGCTACAACTATACTACTAATATAGCTGCAGCGTGGCTCTACCATAATAGATGATAGAACGTTCCCACTATAGAAGTCAACTTGTGAAAAAATTGTTGAATGTTCATTAATGTCTGGGTATTATTTATATTTTAGAAACATTTTGTAGTTTTTTTTACAGAATAAGAGTGACAAACGAGCACACATTGCACCTGCTGGTAAGTGGATACTGCAGCCCATAGACATCTACATTTAACCTCAATTAAGAATCAAAATGCAGATGCGTTGTCAGCAGCATCGAGCTGCTGTGTTTCTGTGAGAGCGTGATCTAGCACAATACACTTATTTACAACTTAAGCTGCAGCGTGGCTCTACCATGTATAAAAGTGCTGTTACGATCTATTCACAAAGCCACATGATCCAGACAGTCAAATTTCCAAGATTAATATTGTGATTATAGAATAGAATAATTTTTATTCAATATAGATTATTACATAATACTTATTGGATTTTTTTTTTATTTACCAATGGATCTCAGTGTGCCCCTGTATATTTTATATACTGCACAAATTTTTCCAAAAAAAAAAATCAATTAATTAACAGTTGTGACTATGATGTTAAAAAATATCATTTGAGTTTATTTCTTTAACCTGTTATTAAAAAGTTACAAACTTCAATTATTTATAGCGACATATATTATAATCAAAAACAGGTAGCATAGCTCATATTCTCTTTGATGATTATTAAAACAATGTATGTTCAGTTGTCTAAGAGTATTGAGTAAAAAGTTCAGAAAAGTTAAATTAAATCCAACACTCTCTTTTTTATTATATGATTTAAAACTGATAAAGTAAAAAAGTGCGAGGTTCATTTAATTAGAAACCTCACCTAAGTTTTTCAGCTTTAGGATCTATTTGTTCCCCTTCTTCTAATTTCAATTCTTCAAGCAGTTTCTTAGTAGAATTAATCTGAGCTGCCAACTTACTATGTTCTTCCTGTAATTAAAAGAAAATATTTATTTATTGAATGGTCTTGGGTTTGAATTACAGCTGAAACCAATACTAATGCAATACAAAAATTCCCTAAGTATTAACTCTAAAATTGCTAACGCTACTTGTATGTGTATTATTATTTCACAAATATTTTATTTTCCTAGGCCAGGGGTGGCGAACCTTTATGTATTAATGTGTCATTTTTCTAAAGAATGTTTAATGAGGCCATCGACGTGGCGTAAAATAATTTTGACTTCGTGATTACCGCCGCCCCGAGCACCGCGCCCGAGCACTCCGTAGTAGCTGTTATATCATAGATTGTCATAAATAGTTATGAAAGTGGGTACTTGCATAACGTTGTTAAGAAATAATGTTAGTTAAGTCAATCAGTTTGTGATTAGTTTTGCTACCTAGCACAATACACTTATTTATCTAAATTACGGTGTTTTATTGGATCTAACAGTAGCGTAGGATCACTCACATTCGTTCGTAATACAATACTTCATAGTGAACTTTGTGATCGGTGGCGTACCCAAAATATTCTGTTGCGTGCCATTGGTTCGCCGTCCCTATCCTAGGCCATAAACAGGAAGTTGAGAGATGCAGGTGGCTCAGGACCGTGTTTTGTGGCATTTCTTGAAGAAGGTCTATGTTCAGCAGTGGACTTAGCAAAGTCTGTAATAATTATGACGATCAGATGGCAGGGCTTTTTTACCAAGGAGCCAGTCTGAGTTATTACGACAACCTATTTCTCCAGTTTCAGGTGTCTATGGTTGACGTCTATGTGGTCAACATCTCTCTGGCTCTCCGTACCCTGTAAGCTTAGCAGCATAAATTATAATTTTTGGATGTCGTGGGTTTTAATTTTTCGGTGCGGAACCCTAATTCTTATTTAGTTTAATAAAGTGATCTTAATAATAAATAAATTTACACACAGGGACAGTTGACTGATGGAGGTAATTAAAACCATGACAATATACAGTACCTTTTCACTTTCTGAAGCTTTATCTCTCTGTTCTGTAACTTGTTCCAGTAACTCTGAGAACTCACATCTGAGTCTGTTGTATCGCTCGAATGGAGTTTCTGGTTCACCCTCTGCTGCCAATTCCCACTCACCAGCTCTGTGTATTAAATGACTTTTTAACTTACTTATTTTGAATTATTAACAAATATAAGCATCACAAGATAAATATAGCTAAGCATTCTATTTAAGTCTGCAGGGATAATAGTGTATCTACATATTGATTTCTAACAGATGCAGGTATCTTTGGGCCACAGGATTTACTTACCATCAGATGAATGGAAAGCCATGGTAGCTCAGATAGTTAGCGCACGCTGTAAGTTTCACAGTACACAAGCAACCCAGGTTTCATCCCAGCCCACACCAATGAAATTGTTAATTGCAATTTTAGGTGCTGATTTACCACATGCTCGGCGATGAAGGAAAACATTGTGGGGAAACCTGCATGTCTGGGAAATGTGAAAAAAAATATTTTGAAGACATGTGAAGTTTACCAACATGCATTGGGGCAGCGTGGCAGACATTGCCTGGCACAAAACCCTCTCAGAAATGAGTGGAGGCCTATGCCTAACAGTGGGATGTATATAGGCTGTAAGTTTTAGATAGACGGTACTCACTTGTTACACTTATTCTACAAAAAAAAAAACAAAGCATTGGCTAGTACCTCTAGTTGTTAGTTCACTCACATGGGATCAATGAAAAAGATAAATCCAAAAATGACTGTAGAAATATACACATTTCTGTAGGAAGTATAATTTTTGTTGATAAGGCTTCCTAGTCTTTAATAAATGTAATGTAATATATCATTTTCTACATTATGGTCTTAATATTTATCTATAAAACTAACTTGGCAAAGTTACCATACTAGTGATGCCACAATGTGCCAGTTACTTTGCCATGTTTTGCTACAACCAAGGGTTGTCATTTTCAACCTACATTTTTAACAATGATTTAAAGAGAGGTTTCTGTACTTAACATTCTATGTATGTATGTTTGGAGTGATGTTTCTCCATAGCAGCCCATTAGAACAATTTTTACTAAATAAGCTGTCAATCAATTGATCTTTATAAAAAGTGAAGGAAAAGAAAAGAGAAATCTATATTATTTTTACTGTGTTGTATAAATAGATCATTGTGGATGTGAATAGTTGAGCCCATACCTGTATCCGATTCGCGTTTTCCTACTTAATCTGTCCGAAAAATCAACTGTACCAGTCAAAAATTTTCCTTTAAATTTATTAAAGGAGTCTTTGACAGACAGGTGCAATTGTTCAATACTTTCGTTTTCTTCTTCTTCGTAAGGGTCAGGTTGATCAGCTTCAGGTAGGTCACCGGTTTCATACACATCGGGTTGATCGTAAGCCTTAAAGATTATTCAGCAATCATAAAGTTATAAAATTGATTTATCTCAGGAAAGTTAGTTCGATAATACTTACTATACCAGGAAGATTCTCATATTTTGGATCTGCCATATTATTTTAAATCAAATGTCGTGAGAATAATTAAGTAATTAATAATAATACTTGGGTAGGTAAGAATAATTTGGAATTTTATAAAAACTAACACTGTATGTGTATGATCTGTATAAATGACGTCAATTTTTCAAAGAAATTGTCAAATGTCAAAGTCAGGCAATGATTTTTTAACATTTTTGGCGTGAATACTTGTCTTTTAAGCCTTGTCTTCATTTCATTCCCTTTATACAGGAAGTGCTGCCATCAAAATCATATTTTCATAAAAAAAATTGTAGGATAGGGTTATAAACGATCACACAGTCCACTTGATGGTAAGTGGTTACTGTGACCCATAGACATCTACATTTATCCTCAATAAAGAATCAAAATGCAGATGCGTCGTCACACGTGAGGACTAAGATGGAATGCCTCTTTTCCAGTAAAAAGTTATAGTTATATGAAGTCGCGCAGTGTGGGCACCAATATGGTCATGTTTACAGACTTTCTTCTTAATGCAATGGATAATAACCCCCAGGTTGATGTCGTGTACACCGACTTCTCCAAAGCTTTTGACAAAATTAACCATGACATACTTCTAAAAAAGCTTTGGAGATTAGGAGTGTATGAAAGTCATATATACGAAATCGCAGTCAGGCAGTCTGTTTGAATGGTTACTGCTCGTCTTTTCTTGCGGTCCTTTCTGGGGTCCCACAAGGCTCTCATCTGGGCCCTGTGTTTTTTGCCTTGTACAACAAAGACATAGGCGATGTGTTACATAACAGCCATCATCTATTGTATGCAGATGACACCAAACTTTTCAGGACAATAAATTCTATTGAAGATTGCCGCAAACTACAATCGGATATTGAGCGCTTATGTAATTATTGTGAAAGTAATAGCTTGTACCTCAATGCAGATAAATGTTTTATAATAACTTACTCTAGAAAATCAAACCTCTTAACTTATAATTATACTCTTTTTGAGAAGGCTCTTAGTCGTGTTAAAAACATTCGTGACTTGGGCATCAACATGGACGATCAGGTTTCTTTCAATAACCACATAGATTAAGCTATAAAAAGAGCTTTTAGAAGCCTCGATTTCATTAATAGAATAACTAAACCATTCAATAAGACTATCACTCTTAAAATCTTTTTTTTCTCATTTGTAAGATCCATTCTTGACTTCGGCTGTATAGTGTGGTGTCCATTTTATAAAAACCACATTGATAGAATTGAAAAGGTCCAAAAAACATTTATTAATATTTTAAATTACCGCTGCGACCTTTATGGCGAGCTGTATATTAACTCCCTTCATAAACATAAAATGTTGAGTCTCAGTGATCGCCGTAAATATTCCGATATCATTTTCTTGTATAAAATTCTAAATAATAAAATTGACTGCTCTCAACGTGTATTTCAAACATTCGTATCACCTACACTTCGAATAAAATATACACAAAACTGCTTTATCTCCCGTTCGTTAAAATTATACAATAAAGAATTTGTAAATCTCGATCTCTTTAGTTGCTCCTTAAAAATTCTTAAACGAAGTATGTATCTTTAAAAGTTATTCAGATAAATACTTAACAGCGTAACATTCGGTAATCTCTACGATGTATTAATTGTTGTCCCTTATAAATGTATGTTTTTCAACTTTAATTAAGTAACCTATTTTAAGCTTTACTGTACTGTTGTTGTTACATAAAGATAAATTTACTACTCAGCTTCAACTAACGTGGGTAAATATTTCAACAAGCTAAATTGAAATGTTATTCTATGTGTATTTTTTCGGCACTCGTTGTTTGTTAATTATGTAATGTTATAATATTGTATTTTCTTTTTAATGACTGTATGTGTCACAATAAATTAAAAAAAAAGGGTCTCCGGTTCTCTACACTCACAATACGAAACACAGCAGTGTAAAACGTGGTCCTTACCTGGTAGAGCCGACCAATTCGTGCTACAACTATACTACTAATATAGCTGCAGCATGGCTCTACCACGTATAAACGTTAAGGGTTTTTTCATTAATTCATTTATTAAAGCCTCTAAAAACAATAAACAAACAAGGATCACTCCTTAAATAATCCAACAAGGAGGATACTTGCTACAATAACCACGCTTGGCAAGCTTAGTTTTTTATTTTCTAGTTGTTAATAAGAAGATGCAATTACCCATATCCTGTTTTGTCTCCCCTGTTTCGCTTCTTACGAATCCCAAGGGACAATTTGGGGTAGTGTATATTCTTACGCCACCACTACACAGAAAATATTAGTTATTAAATTATAATATTAAGACAAAACGATTCACGTAAGAATCATTAAAATCAGCCCACTCGTTTGGTCTACGCCATATAGGAACAAATAAACATACATATATATGTCTACACGGGAATGTGTTTATCGGTCTATATAGACTGATAAACACATTCCCGTATAGTGGCGGGCAAGAATAGCCACTACCCCATATCTTCCCGTGAGTGTCGTAAGAGGCGACAGAAGGAAACTAAGACAGAAGGTGGGCAGCAGCATCTTTCTGATAACAGCAAAATAACAATAAAAACCTGCGGTTGCCCACCCGCTTACCAAGCGTGGCTACTATAGCAATATACCTCATGATGAAATTTACGAAGAGATGGCTCTCAGTCCCTGGCAGCTCCACTATTCCTGGCTATGGTGTCATGGTAATGGTGGGGCAGTGGGTGCTAAGGATCTGCAGTGGAGGTTCGGTTGCCACCTACGAAGACTCGACCTGGAAACATATAACGCACGCACCTTGAGGACTGACGAGAAGATCCTGGAGCTGGAAGAAGAGATAGGCAAGTAGCGCTGGAATATTATAGGATTATCCAAGATCCGAAGAGAGGGGGAGGACACGGTAATCCTCGAATCCGGCAACTTGTTCTATCACCGGGAGAGCGACCATCTGCCACAAGGAGGTGTCGGATTTATCGTTCACAAATCTCTCATTAACAACGTTGTAAAGATTGGGAGTGTGTCGACGAGGGTTGCATACCTTATAGTCAGAATCACCAACCTCGGCAAAGCCCAATGAGAAGATGGAGGAAATATATGAGGATATATCAAGAGCCATGCATTCTCCAAAACCCACTATACGGTGTTAACAGGAGACTTCAAGGCAAAATTAGGCAAAAGAGAGAACGGTGAGTTGAAGGTAGGGAAATTTTGAATAGGGCGACTGAACCCAAGAGGCTGGCAGCTAGGCGACTTTATGGCGAAAGAGAGACTCTTTACGATGACTTTTGCTGCCAAAAGCGGCCCCACAGAAAGTGGACTTGGACGAGCCCTGACGGTTCGACAAAAAATGAGATTGACTTCATTATGACGCCAGACGACAACTGTTGTGTGATGTCTAAGTGATCGCGAGAGTGAAAACCAGCACCGATCACTGAATGGTAAGAGGCAGACTGAACCTAAACGTTAAGTTAGAGAGGTCACGTCTAATGAAGTCAAGCAGTCTATCCCTCTCGTGCACTAATCCAGTCTTGAAAACATTCAGCATGATTTACAAAATCGTTTTTAGTGCCTGAAAGAGTGCAACGCAGTAGATGATATGAATAACAAGCTCGTGGAAACTGTCCATGCAGTCGGAGCTAAGTTCTGCCAGATACGCCGCAGAAGAATACAAAAACTCTCCGATCACACTTTTAATCTCATGGCAGTTAGACGGGAGACGAAGCTGCAGTCTTTAGCAGATTTGATAGCATACAGGCAACTGAACTGTAATGTAATGATGAGGCAACTGAACAGACAGACCTCCAAATACATGTGATGCGACTTGCGCAACTGTAATACAGATCGTATTGAAGAAGCAATTGAGTGAAACCAGTGGCTCCAAAGTCTTTTCCAGAGATATTTCTGCCAAAAAGAGCCAACTGTCGAAGCTGATGACCGAATGTGGCAGTATCGTTTCCGGAACATCGGGGTTGAATCCACACACAAGTGTGAGTAACGATCCAAGAGCAAATCTTATTCGACACTATTCCGATGATATTCCAGACGTCGGTCTAAACGAGATTAGAATGGTTCTTTTGCACCTTAAAAATGGTAAGTCCCCGGGTTAGGATAGAATTACAACAGAGCTTCTGAAAGCGGGTGGACAACCGGTACTTGAAGTCCTTCAGAAGCCCATCCTCCATGATGATACTACTCTGGAGGCAAGGAGCAGATGTGCTCGTGTGGTCTTCTTCTCTTCAAGAAAGGTTATGACACTCTCTTGAAGAACTATAGACCGATTTCCCTTCTGAGCCGCGTCTACGTGCTGTTTTCGAGAGTCATTACGAATCGTTTCGCTCGCAAACTCAACGACTTTCAGCCTCCCGCACAAGCCGGTTTATGAAAAGGCTTTAGCACCATAGATCACATATAATATATTCTTCAGCAAATTGTACAGAAGACGAAAAGAACAATCAGCCACTTTGTCTTGCGTATGTGGACTATGAGAAAGCAATTGATTCCGTCGAAATTTGGGCGGTGCCGCAGTCCCTACAGTGGTGCCAAGTTGACTGTCGGTATATTGAAGTGCTGACGTGTTTGTAGAATAGGGCTACGATGGTTATCCGAGTACAGAACCAGAGTACGAAACCTATCCAACTGCAGAGAGGTGTAAGTCAGGGTGACGTTATATCCCCGAAACTCTTCACCGCTGCATTCGAAGACGTTTTCAAGCTGCTGGACTGGAAAGGATACGGAATTAACATCAATGGCGAGTAGATCACTCATCTTCGATTTGCCGACGATAAAGTCCTTATGGCAGAATCGCTGGAGGACCTAGTTATGTATCCTATAATGTCCATTTCACTCCTATGCCGTTAGAAGTTGGGAGCACTAAGCTCAAAGTTGTTGATGAGTATCTTTTCGTCAGGTATACGTCAAAATTTGCAACCAGTTTTACAACCAGTGCCTGTTGCCAGTGAAGACTTATGGATCTGAAACGTGGTCCATCACTGCGAACTATGGAGAGGGCTATGCTCGGGGCTACTTTGCATGATAAATTAGAAATGAAGATATCCGTAGTAGAACAAGAGTAACCGGCATAGCCCAACAAAAGCACAAGTGGCAATGGGCTGACCATATTGCTCGAAGAACCATATGGGGAAAGAAGCATGACGGGGAAAGAAGGTTCTCGAGTGGCAGCCTCGTATCGGTAGGCGAAGTGAAGGGCGACCCCTCACTAGACGAAATGAGGACCTGGTAAGAAATGCAGGAAGTCTATGGATGCAGGTGGCTCAGGACCGTGCTTTGTGGCATTCCTTGGGGGAAGCCTATGTTCAGCAGTGGACTTGTGAATGGCTATAATGATGATGATGATGAAACATATTACCCTCCGCAGTCGGGTAAAATCTATAAGATAGTAAAACATTTTGGGAAAATATCAACAAGCTCGTTATGGTTACACCAGCACCACCCATAATACAGATAAAGCATCCATCAGCATAAATACATAAACGCTGAGTATGTAGTAATTTAAGTAGACTGTAAGCATAGGATTAAGGATTGTAAAAGACAATGGTCAGAATAAATTCACATCTATCTCTGTGAACACGTAGTTTGTATTTAGTTTTAAAAAAGCTCTCGGCAGCTCCCGCAACTTGACTAGCTTGTTTTCATTTAGGCTTAATAATAGCACAGAATAAATAATAGTATAAGAACTAACTGATCGCTCTCTGATAGCAAACTTGCGAGTTTAAACCTAGTTACAACGTCTCTTATGTTCATAATACTTTGCACGACTCGGATACGCTTCGTTGGGCGCGCGAACTAAGATTAAGTAAATATGTTAAGAAATTTGTTACAAATTTGTAAAAAAATGTGTATTACTAGTTAGGTATAATGTAATATGCTGTTAATTATTATAGTATATGTAAGCTACTTTAATTTTATGTATTATAATGAGTATGTATTTATTTTAGTGTAAATATGTTATATTATATTTTAATATTTTGTAATATTCATTATTTGTTAGTTTTGTGTAAGTTGTATTAATATTGTATACATTTAACAATTTTTTTGTTCTACTAGGGACCTAATATTGTTGTAGTTTGGTATGAATATATATTGTAATTTACTAATAGTTCACTGTTCCATTATGTAAATTCTATATATTTTTACAAAATCAATAGATTTTGTTTTTAATGTAAAATTTTAATTGTCGCTTAAATGTAATAATGGATTTAGGTTCTTTTATATTTTTTCGGCAGTTTATTATAAAGTTTTGCACTCTTATACAATATGGTTCTTTCAGCGTAATTTGTAAGTTTCACACTTTATTAAATTAATTTCGTGCCTCTTCGAAAATTAACTTTCTTATTTTTGAGCTTTGACAGATATAGTCTTTAATGCGGGCTGGGGACCCTTTATAGACTTGGGGCCCTGGTCTGCAACCCAAAAAGCCCATATAAAGTTCCGCCTTGAGTGCCGGTGAACGACATTAACTATTTGCTTGGACTTGGTGCAGATTGTTAACGTACAACCGCTTTGCCCACTATTTTACTTTTGCATTTTTTTAATATTATTTCCTATTCCTTCATTTCATAATTATAACCTAGTACTCCTTAATGGTTTGTGGATAAGACTATTTAACTACAATTTTCTTATTTCAGTTTTGTTTATTATAATCTGTTCTAACTTTAGCTGTAAAAATAATCATATTTTAATAACACTATTAACATATTATTTAAAGTAATAATCAATTAATTAAATACTGAGAATGCTCAGATTAATCATTTAAAGAAAAACTTGAACAGATCTATGAAGCATCATTAGTATGTGGATCTACGGCATATATGCCTAGCAGTGCCACCTTAATAATTTTGTCACTAGATCTGGTGACTTTTACTTCTTTGGCGATTTATTGCTGTCTTTTTGGAAATTTTTATTTATTTAGCTTTTTTAGCAATATATGAGTCCAACTTATTATCACAGTATAAAGTTTCTATGAAATATTAACTACCGAAAATAAATAATGATTTTAATTTAAAAAATATGAATAATATTTCTTGGTAATGAGGACTAACGATCTTCCCGGACCGAGGTAAAGTTTTTTGTTACACAATGTTATTTCATTGTGTGCATGATAGTGTAATGCTGCAGCTATATTCATTGTATAGCTGTAGCACGAATAGGTCAGCTCTACCCGGGAAGGAACACGTTCTCATAGAATACCAGCGTAAAATAGCGGCTTAATACTGCTGTGTTTCGTATGGTGACCCTTTTTACTGGAAAAGAGGCATTCCATTTTAGTCCTCACGGCTGACAACGCATCATCATCATATTTCACCCCATTCCATAGTTGCACTACCTTGGTGGTAAAAAATTCATGGTTGCTCTCATTATTATATAAGTATCTGTTACTTTGATGTATATTTAATTAAAAAGGGAAGATATTTTTTTTGTTGTTCAACCCTGAAATGACTGAAAATTAAAAAAATCTGATTGTTTGTTTTCATATTTATTTGTTGATTCAATAAAAAAGTGGAATTGAAGTGTTTTGACATAATATATTATAATATAGTTTTTTATACCTAAAATTTAGTGATTCCTGGTGACTTTTCGCATAGATTAATTTAATTCAATCTGGATAATTAACCGGATATAAGAATAAACCGGATGGCCTAAAGGTCTAGATACCAGGCCATATACTCCAAAAAAATCCAGAAGGGAATTTTGGCGGGAACTTGACCGGTGGCGGTTTGCTGCTCCTGTATTATAGTTTGAAGTGGATTTTGATTTGTAAAAGTGGTGCGATTTTATGTATTAACTGTCTACGTATGCAAACTATTAGTGGAAATGGTGAAACAAGTGCTCTGATGGTGATGGATTCTCAAGATAAGCTGTTTGTCTGCGTAGGCGCCTTTAGATATCATCGCCAACTGTCAACTGTCTGCTGGCTCAAGTTGCCGTCGAAATCTCCCAAGGGCTGCACAATGTGACGCATCAATATAATATTGTGAAGCAGTGAACTATGAAGAATAATGGTACGTTTAGGGAAATTATAATAAACCAAATAAAAATACTCAAGACTTGGCCTAAATGTCTAGATACCAGGCCATAAACTCCAAAAAATAAAAACGGAAAGGATGGACACGTCACACGTCAACTATTTGACTTTGCTCTCGGTGAGTCATAGATATTTCGATTTTCAAGTCGGTCAGTAGTAAAGTAATTTCTCGTCATCTTTATTGTAATCCTTTCTTCAGCTAGGCGCTTTTTCTAAAAAGTTAATTAAAGTTATTCAACATGAGTTTGCAGTGGACCATAATTGCGTCATTTCTATACGCCGAAATAGCGTTTGTGCTATTACTTACTTTGCCGATTGCAAGTCCTTCGAAATGGCAGAAATTTTTCAGATCCAAATTTTTAGCGTATATCAGTGGACAAGCATCTATGTACTTCCTTGTGTTGATTGGAGTATTGATTTTATGTTTGCTCGATGCAATTCGGGAAATGCAAAAGTATTCAAACATAGAGACGACTGATCATCAGCATCTTGATGCCGAAATGCAGGGTAATATGCGTTTGTTCCGAGCCCAGAGGAACTTTTACATTTCTGGATTCGCACTGTTCCTACTGATTGTCATTCGGCGATTGATACAATTGATTTCTGAATTGGCGACTGTGCTGGCTACATCTGAAGCTAATTACCGGCAAGCGCAAAGTGCTTCTGTTGCTGCTAAGTCACTTCTTGAGCAACACGGATCTGGTGACGAGAAGACCAAGAAAGAAATTGAAGATCTAAAATCTCAAATTTTACAGCTTGAAAAGGACTTGGCTAGAGAGAAAAAAGACAAAGAAGCTGTTAAATCTCAAGCTGAAAGTCTCAATAGAGAATATGATAGACTTACTGAAGAACACAGTATTCTACAAAAGAAAATTACTGTGGCTGGTGGTGATAAAAAGGATGCATAAATTGTAGTTTATGGGCAGAATACATTGGGCTATCAGCATATAATATCTTATGCATAAAAGACATATTTATCACTAAATTGTAATTGAATGTGAGCATGTAAAAACCTTAACTTAATAGTTGAGCAGATAAGGTATTGTCTTAAGATTCATGCAATACATTATTGCATATTTTTTTCATATAATGCTTTTTGTTCCTACATGTTCTGTCTATTATGTTAACTAGAAGTCTGAAAAAATTGTATTGGTTGAATGTCTTAGTGAGTTTTTGTTACTTTTTTTATGTGTATAGAGTTAGATCTTAAAATGTTTCTGTAATTGAGACTTGTAAAAGTCATTATTTACCCCTTAAGAAGCAATTAACCAATGCATTTTTGTATTTTTATAGCTTTGTTCGTAATTTATATTGCATACTAAGCACGTTTAAGTTTTTGTAGATTATTTATGTAGACATTTTGTTTATATTTGTTGATGTGCAGAGTCCAGTAAATGTGTCTGTAGTCAGTTTGTAAATACAACAGTACAATAATAATTTATACATTTGTTTGTAAATCTGAAATGTGATAAAAAAGTTGTATATACTTTTTTCACAATTATTAAAGCTTAGTTCAGACTTTTAAAATATATGGCACATTATCCATCACCATTTATTTTTATGAACATGTTCACACTATGATAACATATATACTGAGTATAAAATTTAAAGGATTGCTTTGCTTGCACAAGAATCAATAATATGCTATATCCACTGAGCCGTCAAATTCTCTTAAATTCCTGCAAAGCTATTGTCGTGCTCAATTTCTAAATTTATTTACAGTGTTGCCAGTTACATAAGTTATTGACATTTATGGAAGGCTTGTTGATAAATGAAGCCTGATAAGAAATAATTTTTAATCTGTACTTTGTGGACAAATTTTAAGATATTGTTAGTTGAAAATTGTTATTAATTCACACCGCTGGTGAACCAGGTTGTCAAATTCCTGCAAAGGAAGCAACACCTCATTGAATATACTATATAGCAGAATAGTAAAGCTGTGCCTGAACTGAGCTTTAAGTGTTACAAAAGCAATGTGGGCAAATGATACCGCTGTTTTATTTTGCACTAGTCTTTTAACTTATTAAATATTTGTACTTTAAATAAAGCATGGTACTAAACAGTAACTACTCTCTATTTACTAAGATCATTGTACTCATTGTTGTTTTTTAAAATCATCAATCTATCTGGTTGAATTATTGACTCGTTTGTTGTTTTGTATTGCACATGTATAAGTATAGAGCACATATTAATGGTGAACTTTAACATTTGGTGAATATTACTTGCTAATAACTTAATGGTTTGTTAAAGTATTGCATCAGGTTGGGATAAGGATTATATTTATATGGGGGTGTTGTTGTAAATTAAATTTGTATTTTCCATTGAAAATGTTGTTTTATTCCATAACAATTATATTGCATATTTGAATTTAAAATGTCTATTCTTACATAAGAAAGGTCTGAGTGGTAAAACAATTGTCTTTTACCAATACCATAATGTTTACTGACATCAATATTCAAGTCAATGAGTTATTTCTGTTTGGGTGTGTGCTTGCACAAGATTCATTTTGAATCTGTCTGTAGCAAAAACATTAAGCCTGTTATATAAGGCCCACTGTGGCAACTTCTAATTCTGAACCTGAACCTGAAGATGACATTTTAATAGTTTTGAAGGCTATTACAAAGGTTCTGTTTGTCTGTTGAGAGTCTTGTTTTAAATCTTTGATGCTATTTTTTCTCGAGAATCATTTATTAAATTGTTAAGCAATATCTTTCTAACTCAATCTAAATTGTTTAAAGTCTCTCAAAGTATCTTAGGAAAGCTTTAAGCTGTCGCCACCCTGCTGTCCCCCTCACTCTCTACATGGTGAAACACTAGATGAGTAGTTACATACAATATGACAATATCAAACAACATTACAGTTCATCTAGTGAAAAGTGACAGTAATCTTATTGACTTTCTTAACCTTCAAACTAGAACATAGTACTGTTCCATTTCAACGGAAATAATAGATCTTTACCTGTGAAATTGCTGTCCTGCAGTATTGCCCTAAAATAAAATAAAAAATAATTTTTGTTTTTCTAGGAATTCTAATTTCCAATTGATTTTATTTTAAAATCATTGAATTTTTTTTTCAAAATTAGTCATTAAGTTTTTTTGATTAACATTATGTTTTCATTGCATTTGAATATTTTTCGTCATCATGGATATGTTAAAAATTTGAGTAATTATCAAATATGAGTACCATTGTGGCAGCAACGCAGTACAAGTGGCACTTTTTGGTGGTCTAGCGCCGGTGTGATTCATCACACCTTCTTACCAAACGGGATGAGCATTACTGCAGATGTGTACTTTGAAGAACTGAACACAATGATGGAGAAGCTCGCACGTCTCTAACCCGTTTTGGTCAATCGCTCGTCCACGCTGCTCCTTTAACACATCTCCAAGTTACAAGAGTTGGGGTTGGAAGCTCTGTGATCCGCCTTATGTCTACTATAGTCACCACACGTTGCGCCTACAGACTTCTACTTTTTCCAGAATTTGGATAACTTTTTGGCGGGAAAAAAACTCAATACCTGTGAGGCAGTACAAAATGCCTTTGAAGAATTTGTTGCCTCCCGTCCAGCTGATTTTTTCAAGAAGGGCATCAATAAACTGCCACTGCGTTGGCAAAGATGCATCGATTGCATGGGTAATTACTGATTACTTTGATTAATAGAAATAAAAAATTACAAAAAAATTACGTTAAATTATTTCATAAAAAACGGCAATTTCATAGGTAAAGACCTAATAAAGGGATAGTTTCGACCAATACAGACAGAGTTCTAGTTAAAATAGGAGCCCTACTATTGAGGTAATTGTTTTTAACTAAAAATAGAAATTTGATTCAAAGTTTTATCTATCTACAGGAAGTTAACGGTAGGTGTCTCAAGAATAAATTGTTACTATTTTTGTCGCTAGTAGTTATGCCGCGCGCCCTTGTCCCAAGCCTCGCGCGTTGATTTATTAATAACCCTGCTGTCCAATTTTTCCACTTAGTCCGATCTTCAGCTTCATGCATCCACTCACCAGTTGCCTTTCGCAGATAGTCGCTCCATTTAGGCAGGGGTGACGGGGGACCCACATTACGTTTACCTAAGCACGGCTCTTTCTGATACGTCTATTCCAACGATTGTCACTCCTGCGGCAAGCACAATGCCACGTAAGTTTGCGTACACGGTAAACTATGTAGAAGACTGGTGCACCGGCAGATTACGATAAAGACCCGAGAAACTGCGAGTACAGATAGCTCTTTTCATCACTCGCTGAGCTTGTGAAGTAGTTGCACCGTAACCGGCAGGTTGCACTGGTGGAAAATTCGTCTTTTACAGACTTTGCGGTATGGGCAGCGAGAAGATCTGACCAAGCTTCTTGAATGGGGGAAGGGGCATGGTCCCGGCAGATTTTATTTAGGGGTGGGATGTTGGGAAAGAAAAACCAGCTTCCGACTTAACGTTTAAATGATATTGGTAGCACATGCGTGCGTTCGTTCGTTTGTTACAGGCCATCACAAGTCTGTTGCCGAATATAGGCCTCCCAAAAGGAATACCTCAAAGCACTGTCCTGAGCTTCCTGCATTTAAAGACTTTATACTAAAGGCGGCTCTTCACGTTGGCCAACATACTGGCGAATATGTTGGCCAATAACGATGGCCATCGTGTAGAGCGGGTGTTTATGCTTAAAACAGAAATTTTATTTCTTGACGGCTCAGTGGCGTAGTGCTTTAGCAATGAGTTGCTGCGCTGGGGATCGCGGGTACAAATCCCGCACGGAACAAGTATTTGTATGGCCTGCAAATAATTGCTCCGGGTCTGGATGTTTGTCCTTATGCAATTTATGTTTGTAAACTACCTCCACGATACAGAAGAAAATCAAAGTATGGGGGTAACGTTTTTTTTTAAAAAAGACTTGTGTTTCACAAACAATTTTCGGCTTGGTAAGGCTCTATAAAGCGAAAAGTTTTTCCATTGGTCATTGTTACTGCCATTACGTAGACACTAGTTATGATGCGTGCATATAAAATTTAAATCAGGTGCGTGCAATCACTCTGGGAGCTCGTAGCAAACTGAACGTGCGCCCAACGTGTGGACGCGGCGGCCAATACTCTGCCACAACCCTTTGATCTTTTGTAAAAAACCGACACCACACGGATCTCGCGCCAACTTGTGGGTCGTTCCAATACATACCAACGTAAGCATAAACACCCGCTCTACACGATGGCCATCGTTATTGGCCAACATATTCGCCAGTATGTTGGCCAACGTGAAGAGCCGCCTTAATGCGTTGAATAGATTTCATCCACCATCTCTGTTGGCGAGGATTGCGAAGCGTAGAGATTAATTGCGCGAGCAGAGCAGTGTGTGGGCAGAGAGGGCAACATCGCGGCAGAGTGAGGAGCAGCGCGAGAAGCATAGTGTGACTGCGCCATATGACAAGGCCACTAATTAGACTAACGTTTCGTTCCAATTCATGTGCAGTCCATCCAACACGGGAGGATTTAATAAGGCTATTCTTAGATTTCCCTGCAACGGTATGAGATAGATATTTTTAAAGTCATTTTTTGAAATGCATATTATTTACGTTACGGGTATGAGAAATTTTGGCGGAACTTTATGTGCGGTGTTTGGTTGAAAGCCAATATTGTTAGTATCGAGAGCAGGCGCTGACTAGCCAGCCTGTCAATATTCTTTACGATTCCGGAGAGTGTACGCAGACTGGAATTATATATTTTATAGTATAAAGGTGACAAGAAAACATAGTCTACTAGATATTAAATGGTTATTGTAAATGCCTTATCACTCCTGAGGACTAAAAAGAAATCCTCGTTACGAATAAAAAAAGGATCAACGGTTTCGGTCACACTCACCATACGAAACACACGGCATTATTTACGGTTGCTATTTTATGTTGGTATTCAATGAGAGCGTGA